AGGTCTCTCTAGATCACAGGCCGATGCTCTAACCACTGAGCCAAACCGGCCAGGGCCCGGTCACCTTTTTCTTTTTTTTTTTTTATCCTCACCCGAGGGTATTTTCCATTTTTTGTACAGATAGAGTGGGAGGGAGAGAGAGGAAGGGAGAAAGAGAGAGAAACATCGACGTGAAGGGACACATCGAGTGGCTGCCACCCGCACGACCAACCAGGGCCGGGGACAAACTGCAACCGAAGTACGTGCCCTTAGCGGAAACCGAACCCGGGTCTCACCAGACCGCAGGCCGACGCTCTAACCACTGAGCCAAACCGGCCAGGGCCCGGTCACCTTTTTATACTGAAGGGATTATGTAAGCTCTCAGCTGTGTCAGCTCTGGTCATCTGCGGCCCCTCTCAGCCCACCGGGAGCAGGAGAGCACCTGTCACAGGGAGACTTGTTTCCTGCACTCGAGGAGACAAGGGAGGGTCAAAGTGCCCTTCTGGCACGGCTGCTTGTTGGGTAACCTTAATTCAAAATAATCAATAGGGCTTTGTGGGACATTTTGGGGTGGCCCATCTGGGGCCCTAACAAGGGACACCACTCAGCTGAGAACCTGGCCAAGCTGCCTGGCGCCTGGCTGTGGAGTGAGGACCAGCTTGTTCCAGTTCCTGAGTTCTCAGGGGAACGGTAGGTTCTCTCAGGTGATGCCAGCCTACTCCGTCTCCTGGGACAGCAAAACCACTGCTACTTTCACAGAAACCATCTCTTCTTTCTGGTAAAAATCCTCACAGTATGCAGTCCGAAGGGACACAGTCTGGAGCAAAGGGGACTAGTTTCTAATCTGAAGTGATTCTAGTCTGTGAGACCCTTGCTTTGAGCTGAGGGTTCTTGCATCTTTTTTTTTTTTTGTATGTTTGTTTTTCAATCCATTGACATTTAGAGAGTGGAAGGAAGGGAGGGAGGGAGGGAGAGAGAGAAACATCTGTGTGAGAGACACATCCATCGGTTGCCTCCCTTGTGCACCCCTGACCAGGGCCAGGGATCAAACCTGCAACCCAAGTACATGCCCTTGACCGGGAATTGAACCCAAGACCCTTCAGTGCACAGGTTGACACTCAGACCAGGGTAGGGAACATTTTTTCTGCCAAGGGCCATTTGGATATTTGTTACATCATTCAAGGGCCATACAAAATTATCAACTTGAAGTTAGCCTGCTATATTTGGTCAGGCTGATTTGGTGAGGTGTGTGATGTTAGCTGGTATAGAAGGCCCTCGGGCCTGACATTCCCCACCCTGGCCACTGAGCCACACCGGCCAGGGCTAATGTTTTTTTAAATTTTTTATTTTATTGCAGGGAAAGGGAGAGAGAGAGAGAAACATCAATGAGAGAGAAACTGCCATCAGCTGGCTCCTGCACGCCCCCGACCGATCCCGAAACCCGGGCATGTGCCCTGACCTGGAATCAAACCTGTGACCTCCTGGTGCTTGGGTCGACACTCAACCAGCTGAGCCACGCCAGCCGGGCCCAACTTTACTTTTAATGGACATTTATGTTAGATTTTATTTTCAACGCTCATGACAATTCAATATAGATGAACAAACCTTGATGCAGGCGCTGGCGGGCACCCTGAGAATCAAGTCACCCCTTTGTATCATGTTTCAGTCACTCTGGACAGAACCACATCTGTCTTCCCAGAGCCCCCAGCCTTCTTCACTCAGTCCTGAAGTCAGAACTACTCGGTCACCTCTGAATTCAGGCTTGTTTGTGATGTTTTTATTGATTTTTTTTTTTTTTTTAGAGATAGAAGAGAGAGAGAGATAGAAACATCGACGTGAGAGAGAAACACTAATTGGCTGCCTCCTGCATGCCCCCCACTGGGGACCAAGTCCAAACCCGGGCACATGCCCTGACCAGGAATCGAGCCAAGATCTCTCAGTCCATGGGAGGATGCTCAATCCACTGAGCCACACCGGCAGGGCTGTGGATTGCTTTTCTAACAGGGAACAGGAAGAGGTCCTAAAAGGGCCAGGTGTGGGTGGGAGACTAATACCCCAGGGCCTTTTTCTCCACCATTGTCTTGTTCCTTCTTCTGCTTCACCTTTCTGGTGCCCCCTGAGCATGGATCTGAATGACTCGGGGGTCTCCAGCATCTGCAGAGGTCACTACTGGCCTTAGCAGAGTTCCTGGAAAGTTTGGTGTCAGTCAACTCTTTTCCCCCTAGTGCACTAACTAAGATGCTGGCTCTCAACTAAGCATGGAAGAATCCCTGGGCAGAAGGGAAGCTTTCAGTGGCATATGCCTCAGTACACAGCGTCTGCTGTCTAAATGAGATGTTCCCAAACTGGGCTTTCCTAAAGAAGGGCACGTGGTGGGCGGACTCAGGCCAAGTGGACAGAATTCAGAAAGTCTCATTTCATAGGCAAGTTGCCCGGCGAGGTTTGAGATGGCTTATGTAATGATGTACTTCCTGCTCCGCCTGGGAGCTCCGAGGGGGAGACCTGCCTGGGTCCCTTTTGGTCACTGGGAAACTCCCACATCTCGGTGTCACGAGAAAGAGCTACTCTGTCACAGATGAAGGGTTGTGAAAATTATTCTCATCTTGGCATTAAATTAGATGCAGAATTGCTGCTTCTCCAGGAAGCCTGATCCTGAATTCTGTGCATTTTAAGGCGGGCCTTAAATAAAAATGCCCCAGCCAATGAGGGGGTCGGTGCAGGACTGAGAGACCCCTAGACTTCCCAGGCAGAGGAGCCCTGGAAATGGGGACTGATGGCGCAGCCACCCCCTGGCCAGCACACAGGCTCCTGAGCAGAGCAAAGCTTCCCCTAGGCTGTAAAACAACCTCAAGGCGTGAATCATTATATTACCATGGCTGACTGGCTGGAGAGGAACCGAGAATATGAAAATACGTTGCTCATTAGCAAAGGGAAATGCACCAGGGTTGAGGGTCCCTTCTCGTCACAGCCGCTCTGTCCTGCTTTGTCCTGCTGAGCAGAGTTCTTTGTGCTGCTTTACGCTTCAGGCCGAGAGCTTGAAGCTGTGTGCCTGTTACTGAGGACCTTGGTAGGAGTACGCGAGAAACGAGGGGCTGGCCTGACCAGTCTGGCTCAGTGGTGAGAATGTTGGCCTGCAGACCGAAGGGTCTAGGGTTCGATTCCCAGTCAAGGACATGTACCTGGTTTGCAGGTTCGATCCCCAGCCCTGGTCGGGGTCATTGGGAGGCAACCAGTCGATGTGTGTCTCTCACATCAATGTTTTTCTCTCTCTCTCTCTCTCCCTCCCTCCCTTCCCTTCCTTCCACTCTATCTAGAAGTCAATAGGAAAATATCCTTGGGTAAGAATTAACAAAAAAGAGAAGTAGTAGGGGCTTTAGAAAATAGAGCACTATTAGCACTGGCCACTTTAACCAGCCTTAGATCCATTTTGTGGTTTAATTCTCAGTACAGACTCACATATTCTACAGCGAGTTTCTCCACAGCAGTGGGGCCACGTGGGAGACCAGGGTGTTCTCTCCACCCGGCTGTCCTGTGCATGTGCGGTGGTCAGCAGCACCCGCGGCTTCTACCACGACCTCTCACAACAACTAAAAAATGTCTCCAGATGATGCCAGAGGACAAAATCACCCATGCACACACACCCTTTGAGAATCACCATTCTCCCGGGTTCGGTTCCCGCTAAGGGCATGTACCTCGGTTGCAGTTTGTCCCCGGCCCTGGTTGGTCGTGCGGGTGGCAGCCACTCGATGTGTCCCTTTCACATCGATGTTTCTCTCTCTCTCTCTCTTCCTCTCTCTCCCTCCCACTCTATCTGTGCAAAAAATGGAAAAATGTCCTCGGGTGAGGATTAAAAAAAAAATCTTTAAAATAAGCCCTGGCCGGTTTGGCTCAGCGGTTAGAGCGTCCGCTTGCGGTCCGGAGAATCACCATTCTATGGGGAAAAGGCAGCATAAATCATGGTTGTCCTAAATTCGTTGTGCTTTTAAAATAGATCCTAAGAGTTGACATGCACTTCATACCTGTGTTACTGGTTTATTCCCCATGTACATGAACAGGAATTTATCTATTCGAGTGGCCTTCACAGAAACCCAGAATCTTCTCTCCCCTCCGCCAGTTTGTTCTCCCATACAATTCATATGTTGCAACTAATTTACCTGCCCTGTTAATTCATTAATAGGTCTTTAATTTGTTACTTCTGCTTATTCATTCATTCATGCATGCAACAATAGACTTAGTGGGTTCTTACCATCTGCCCAGTGGTGACCAAGCCCCACCTCGTAACCAGGATTCCCACATGTTTGATAGCATATCCACCTTCCTCGGTTTCTATTTTTAAAAGGCAAAATTGAATCTGACACAGAGGAACATGGTCCCTGCAGTCAGACAGACTCGGGTTGAAATCCCACCTCTGCCGCTTACAAGCTGGATAGCCTTGAGCTAATTATAGAACCTGTATGCCTCAGTTTCCCCATATGAACATAGGAGTGATTTCATCCACCTGGCAGAGTTCCATGAGTCCTCCATGAGATCATGTACATCAATAAACAGTGACTCATTGTCTGCCGGCTGGTCGGGTGTAATGTATGAATCTCCATCTTTGTGGGTCTAAAGTGATTGGCAGCATCCTACACTTCAACCTATTATGCAAACCCAAGGTACAGTATCACAGTGACTGTATCTTTTCTCTGTGGAGGTCCAGCAAATAAATGCAGTGGTTCTGCTTGGTTGTTTTCCTACGTTCCTGCCCTCTGTCTGGGGAGGCATCCTGCCAACACAACGTAACAGACTTCAGAGGACAAAGCCACTCAGCTGTTCTCAGCATCGACAACCAGCATCTATTTTAAAAGCTTGTACTACAGGAAATTGTACTCTTCCAGCCAGTTTGTGAGGAGATACCCTGGATTGTAGCAGTTCCTCAGTTTTCTGTTGTTGTCTGTGTTTCTGTTACTCTGTTGCTGTTTGTTCTCTGGGCGCCTGTCTCGGGTGGGCATTTCTCTGATGTGTCTGTATTTCTGTCCCAGGTCACTCTGCTGATTGCCTTCATCTGCGTGAGGAGCTCTCCATGGATCAACCAGAGTGCCTACAGATACTTTGAAGTGGTCACCATTTGCAACTTGATAATGATCCTCGCATTTTACCTGGTCCACCTCTTCCGCCTCTACCGCGTGCTCACCTGCATCAGCTGGCCCCTGTCGGTAAGGGAGGGGCCTGGCCCTGTTCTCGGTGCAGGAGTCAGGATATTCGCTGGGGCGCTGAGACCCCTTGGAGCCCTTCTCCTCTGTCCACCCCACCTCTTGCACCATCCTTAGCTGCTTCGGCCCTGAATTTTCCACTCTTTGGTGGACATCTCTGCCTGATGTCCCACTACTCTAAAACTCACCTTCCATCTACAAGAAAACCCTGCCTCTCACCCCACTGTTTATTTTCTCAAGTGGCAGACAAGGGGCTGTGTGTATGAGTTGGGATGAGGAACATGGAAGGAAGAAGCTGACAAAGGTGTAAGTATTAAATGATAACATTTGTCAGCTAAAATGGACTGGCAGCATCTGAGGAAAGATTTCAAAGTTGCCATGGTTTTTTCTTCCCACTATATTTTTAAAACAGCTTTATTGATAGCTAGTTCATAATGCCATACAGTTACCCAATTAAAGTGTATAAGTCACTGGATTTTAGAATATTTCCAGAGCTGTACAACCATCACAGTGAATTTTAGAACATTTCATCACCTTAAAAAGAAACTCCAGCCCTGGCTGGTTTGGCTCAGCAGTTGAAGCGTTGGCCCACGGACCAGAGAGTCCCAGGTTCGGTTCCCGTAAGGGGCATGTACCAAAAAATAAATTTAAAAAATAAATAAAATAAAAAGAAACTGCATACCCTTTAGCTGTCACCTTCTACCCCTCATCCCCTCCAGCCCTCTCCAACCACAAAGGTATTTTCTATCTCTAAATTTTTCTATTCTGGACATTTCGTGTAAATGGTATCATATGTATGGTCTTCTGTGACTGGCTTCTTTCACTTAGCAGAGTGTTTTCATAGTTTATCGATGTTGTAGCATGTATCAGCAATCCATTCCTTTTCAGTGCCGAGTAATATTCCATTGAACAAATATACCACCTTTTGTTTATTCATTCGTCATTGAGGGACATTTGGGTTGTTTCTACCTTTTGGCTTTTATGAATAATGCTGCTATACACACTCATGTGCAATTTTTTTGTATGGACATGATTTCATTTTGCTTGGGAATATAAGAGTGGAATTGCTGGGTCACATGGTGACTATGTTTAATTGTTTGAGGAACTGCTAGACTGTTTTCCAAAGTGGTACATCAGTTTACATTCCCATCAGCAGCGTATTTGGGTTCCAGTTTTTCCATATCCTGTCAACACTTGTTTCCGACTTGTAGATTACAGTCATTCTAGCGACTGTGAAGTGGTATCTTGTGGTTTTGATTTGCATTTCTCTGATGACTAATAATGTCAATCATCTTTTCATGTGCTTTTAGGCCATATGTATATTTTCTCTGGGGAAATGTCTATTCAGATCCTTTGCCCATTCTTTGATTAGGTTGTCTTTGTATTATTGAGTTGTAAGAGATTTTTATTTAGTCTAGTTAAAAGTCCCTTATCAGAATTATGATTAGCAGATATTTTCTTCCATTCTGTTTTTCACTTCCTTGATAGTATTTATTAAAGCACACATTTTAAATGTTGATGAAATCTAATTTATCTTTTTTTTTTTTTTTATCCTCACCCGAGGACATTTTTCGATATTTTGTTCAGATAGAGGGAGAGAGAGAGAGAGAAACATCGACGTGAAAGCGACACATCGAGTGACTGCCACCCACACGACCCAACCAGGGCTGGGGACAAACTGCAACCAAGGTATGTGCCCTTAGCGGGAACCGAACCCGGGTCTCTCCGGACCGCAGGCCGACGCTCTAACCGCTGAGCCAAACCGGTCAGGGCTCTATTTTTCTTTGTTGCTTGTGTTTTGGTATATCTAAAAAGCCATTGCCAAATCCAAGACTGTGAAAATTTACCTCTGTGTTTTCTTCTAAAAATTTTACAGTCTTAGCTTTTATATTTAGGTGTTTTATCTATTTTGAGTTAATTTTTGCATATAGTGGGAGGTAAAGATTCAACTTCATTTTTTTAGATATGAATATTCAGTTGTCCCATCACCATCTGTTGCAAAGACTGTTTTCCCCCCATTGACTTGTCTTGGCACCCTTGCTGAAAATTAGTTGACCATAAACACATGGATTTATTTCTGAAGTCAGTTCTATTACACTGATCTTACTACACTATCTTTTTTTTTTTCTTCACTCGAGGACATTTTTGCATTTATCTTCAGATAGAGTGGGAAGGGGGGAGAGAGAGAAACATCGATGTGAGAGAGACACTTTGAGTGGTTGCTTCCCATACGACCCCAACCAGGGCCAAGGACAAACTGCAATCGAGGTACGTGCCCTTAGCAGAAACCAGACCCAGGACTCCCCGGTCCATGGGCCGACACTCTAACCACTGAGCCAAACCGGCCAGGGCTTACTACACTATCTTGATTACTGTAGACTTGTAGTAAGTTTTGAAATTAGGAAGTGTGAGTCTTCCCATTTGTTCTTTTTTTTTTTTAATCCTCATCCAAGGACATTTTTCCATTTTTTTGTACAGACAGAGTGGGAGGGAGAGAGAGGAAGAGAGAAAGAGGGAAACATCGATGTGAAAGGGACACATCGAGTGGCTGCCACCCGCACGACCAACCAGGGCCGAGGACAAACTGCAACCGAGGTACATGCCCTTAGCGGGAACCGAACCCGGGTCTCTCCAGACCGCAGGTGGACGCTCTAACCGCTGAGCCAAACCAGCCAGGGCCCATTTGTTCTTTTTCAGGACTGTTTTAGATTTTTGCAATTTTTGAATCAGCTTTTCAGTTTCTCCAAAGAAGTCAACCGGGAGTCTAATAGGAATCACAGTGAATCGATTTTGAGAATATTGCCATCTTAACAATAAGTCTTGTGATTCATGACAATGGAAGGTTTTCCGATATATTTAGATCTTTTCATATTTCTTTCAATGTTTTATAGTTTTCAGAATATAAGTTTTGAACTTTTTGGTTAAATTTGTTCCTAAGTATCTTACTATTTTTTTTAATGCTATTTCAAATGTAATTATTTTCTTAATTTCTTTTTGGGGTTGTTTATTGCAAAAGGATTGAAGAACAGTTCATTTTTCTATGTTGATCTGGTATCCTCAACCTTGCTGAACTCATTTATTAGATCTAATAGATTGTCAGTGGATTCCTGAGGATTTTCTATGTGCAGTATCATGCCACCTGTGAATAGAGATAGGCTTACATTTCTTTCCAGTCTGGAGGCCTTTTATTTTCCTTTCTTCCCTTATTGCAAGAAATTAGTTAAATGTTGAGTCCAAGTGGCAAGAATAGATAACATTATCTTTTTTCTGATTTTAGGAGGAAAGCGGTTCATCTTTCATCATGAAATATGATATTAGCTGTGGGAGTTTATATATACGCTGTTTATCAGACCAAAGAAATTACCTTCTAGTCCTACTTTGTTGAGTGTTTTTATCATGAAAGGGTGTTAGATTTTGTCAAACGCATTTTCTTTGTCTTTTAAGATAATCATGTGACTTTCGCCCCCCCAGTATTCTATTAATGTAGTGTGTTATATTGATTTTTCACACATGGAACCAACCTTGCATTCCTGGGATAAATTCTGTTTGCTCACAGTGTAAAATACAGTTTATATGTAGTTGTATTTGGTTTGCTAGTACTTTGTTGAGGATTTTCACATTTGCATTCATAAAAGATATTACAGTTCTTTTATGACACCTTTGTCTCCTTTTGTTATCAGGGTAATACGAGCCCCATAGAATCATTTGTGAGGTGGTCCCTTGTCTTCTGTTTTGTTCTGTTTTGAAGAATTTTTCTTTTTTTATTCCAGAGAGAGGGAAACATCAATGTGAGAGAGAAACATCAATCATTTGCCTCCCACTCATGCCCCAACCAGGGATTGAACCCGAAACCTGGATATGTGCCCTGACTGAGAATTGACCCCACGCCCTTTGGAGTACAGGACGATGCTTCAACCAACTGAGCCACACTGGCCAGGGCATCGTCTTCTGTTTATTAGAAGAGTTTGTGAAGAGTTGGTAAGCATCCGGACGCGGGCTTTTCTTGTGGGTAATTTTTTCATTATTAATTCAAACTCTACTTGTTATAGATTTATTCAGATTTTTTATTTTTGCTTGAGTCATTTTCAGTAGTATGTCTTTCTTAGAATATGTTCATTTCATCTCAGTTATCTAATTTTGGCGTGCAGTTGTTGATAGTGTTCCTTTAAAATCCTTTTGATTTCTGTAAGATAAGTAGCAATGCCCCCTCTTTCGTTTCCAGTGTTGGTCATTTGACTCTTTTCTCTTTTAATTTTTCTCTTGGTCAGTCTAGCCAAAAGTTTGTCTCTTGATCTTTTCAAAGAACCAGCTGTTAGTTTCATTGATTTCCTCTATTGTTTTTCTGTTCTCTATATCATTAATTGCTGCTCTGATTTTATTTCCTTCTTTCTTCTTGCTTTAGGGTTACTTTGCTCTTCTTGTTTTAAGGTGAAGGTTGGGTTATTAATTTGAAACCTTTCTTTTTTAGTGTAGGCATTTACAGCTGTAAACATCTCTCTGGGCACTGCTTTGGTTGCTTCCCATAATTTTGGTACAGTGTGTGTTCATTTTCGTTCATCTCCAAGCATTTTCTCATTTCCCTTGTGATTTCTTCTTTGACCCATTAATTAGGAATGTGTTGTTTAATTTGTACAAATGTGTGAGTTTCCCAAATTTCTATCTGCTATTGATTTCTAATTTCTGATGTAGTTGGAGAACATAGTTCATATTATTTCAGTCCTTTTACATATATTGAGGTTGTTTTGTGGTTTAGCATATGTCTCATGCTGGGGATTGTTTTGTGTACATCTGAGAAGGATGTATATTCTACTGTCGTTGGATAGAATGTTTCCTAAATGTCTGTTAGCATCTATTTGTTTCATAACATGGTTTGAGTCTTCTATTTCCTTGTTGGTCTCCTCCCTAGTTGTTCTAAACATTATTGAAAGTGGGGTATTGCAGCCTCCAACTATTACCTTTGAATGATCCATTTCTCCCTTTATTTCTTTGAGTTTTTGCTTCCTCTGTTTTCTTGCTCTATTAGTAGTTGAATCCATGTTTATAACTGTTATATTTTCCTGATGAATTGACATTTTCATCATTATAAAATATCCCTTTTTAATCTCTGGTAACATTTTTTGTTTTAAAATCTGTTCTGTCTGATACAACTATCACCATTCGAACTTTCTTTTGGTTGCTATTTGAATGACATATCTTTTCCATCCTTCTACTTTCGATCTACTTATATCTTTGAATATAAATTGTGACTCCTATAGAAAGCATAGAGTTGGATTTTTTTTAATCTAGACTGACAATCTCTGCTTCTTGATTGAATTGTTTAATCATTCACATTTAACATTACTATCCATTATGTTATTTTAAGAGAAATCTCTTTTTTGTTCCTCAGTTGTAAGGCCTCTTTCAAAATTATGGCGCCTTTTTGCTTCATTTATTTATTTATTTTATTTTTATTATTTTATTTTATTTTTCTGTATTGATCTTAGAGAGAGAGGAAGTGAGAGGGAGAGATTGAAACACCGATGAGAGAGAACATCGACTGGCCGCCTCCTGCCTGCCCCTCACTGGGGATCGGGCCCACAACCTGGGCATGTGCCCTGACCGGGAATTGAACCGGCGACCTCTTGGGGCATGGGTCCATGCTCACCCACTGAGCCACACCAGCCGGACCTTTTCGCTTCTTTGGAGAACAAGCTCCTCTGGGTTTCCCTGGTGCTCGTACTGAACAGGCAAAGGAGGCAGTAAAAGCAGGGGACAAGGATGGGGCGGGCTGAAAGGGGAGGAATGTTAGAAGGATAAGTTCAGCCGCACCTTTTTTTAGCTTAGTACAATTTAGGTGCCTTCCATCTAGGACTCTCTCAAGCCATTTTCCCCAGGGTCTTGGCGGTAGGGAACCTCTAGCTCCTAATCTGCCATTACACAAAATCTCTGCGGTCTGCCTCATGACATCCATCCTAGTCGCTAAGGGAGGACGCAGGCTTCTTGGTTTTGCACAGCGTTGAGAGGAGCTGCAGCTTGAAAGTGGAATGCTTGCCCACGCTGACAGCCACCTGCCCTGCTGGGGGGACTTCGTGAAGGAGTAATTCCTGAACTCGCACTGCAGCCTGAGAATGGATACGATCTGGACGTAGAGTGGGTACTGTGAGTGGCCCTAAACCCCAGTTCTGCTCGGATCTGGTATTTACTGGGGAGGAAGGACGTCGTGGAAGTGTCTCCATGCTCTGAGTGACATTCTTGTCCTGGAGCGTGGCTGGGTGGAAATGGATGGCCCTGCGGACCAGGGAGAGGAGCACAGGGTGTCAGTCCCTCCAGAAGATGAACCTGCGGAGCTTGGCCTGAGGTGCGCTTCCGGAGAGGAGAGGAAAGACGAACCCAGTAGGACGTAGACAGGAGAAAGCCAGTTCCCACCACGCACCGGGCTCTCCCGGCTCTGACTCCGAGTCTGAGCGGGCCAAGCACCTCTCAAGTCCACACCTAAAAACTGTGTACAGAACAGGCAGACACTCCAGGCAGCCACCAAGCCAGCACATTGTGAGCCCCAAACTCTCTCTAAGCAGAAGCAAAAGGCGCACGTCTCTTTAAGGGGAGTTGCTTCTCAGGGCTGGAGCTTTCTTTAAATTCTCCAGCCTGAGCCCAGCCGGTGTGGCTCACGGATTGAACATCCTCCCGTGGACTGAGAGGTCCCAGTTCGAGTCCCGGTCAGGGCACACGCCTAGATTGTGGGCTCCATCCCCAGTAGGGGGCGTGCAGGAAGCAGCTGTTTGATGTATCTCTTTCACATCAAAGTTTCCATCCGTCTCCCTTCCCCTCTCTCTAAAAAATCAATAAAAACATATTTTAAACAAAAACAAAAAGCTCTCCAACCTGGGAGTTGGGAGAAGCTCGTTTGCTTTGTAGTAGCTTTGGACAGAGGTCAAGTTACTGTCCACAGATTGATCTCAGGAGTGGAGCAGTCTTGAATGGATATCTGTCCTCACACAAACAGCATCCTTTACTTTCTGTCCCCTTTCTCTCTGCCTGCCTGGCATCTTTTCTCTCTCGCTGGGCCTCATCCTGGCCAGCCTGACGCACGTGCCGCCTGGGAGCCATGCTGCTCCAGTCGGGGGGTTACACTCCCTCCCCTTCTGCTCATCTCTCCGGACGCCCGGTGGCCGCTAAGAACCAGGAGCGGCCCTCGCACCCACTGCCTTGCTTTGTGTCGCCCCCAGGAACTCCTGCACTATCTAATCGGCACCCTGCTCCTCCTCGTGGCCTCCATCGTGGCAGCCTCCAAGAGCTACAGCCAGAGCGAGCTGGTGGCCGCAGCGGTGAGGATCTTCTCGGGAGCCTTCGGCGATGAGCTCCTGTTCTGGATGTTCTTTCTTTTTCTGATGGGGAGAGCGAAGTGATTGTGTTCTGGGGCCTTTCTTCCGCAGAGTCGGTCCCCACCTCGATCCAACCGGCCCAGTCTCCAAAGAGCCTGGAACTCGGGAGGTGAATCGTCAGTGCAGTTGGCAAACAAAGGGCCCCAGCGGTCCAGGCCTCTCTCTCGCAGACACCCTTAAATCGGGGGCGAGTGGGGTTTCCACCACATGCCCATTGTCATTTGCTCGTGGCTGCCTCAGCCCCGTGCAGAGACAGATTCTGGAGCCTCCTTTGAGCCCACGGGAACCGTTCTGTGATCTGCCCGTGATCCCGGCCCTCCGTCCTAGCTTCGCCCATCCTTGTAGCCGGGTTCAGGCCAGGAAGTCATCCTCCTATACCTTTCAGGGGTGAAAACTGACCCATCTAGTAGCCTAAATAGCAGGAGCGTGGAAATGTACACAACTACAGTGCTATGGGAGCTATTTATAGTTATCACACGCATACGCACACATATATACATGCGTACGTCATTATTTTTAAAAGATTTATAGACTTCTGTCGTCCAATTTCTAATTTAGTGAACTGTTTAGAGTTTGGGGGCCTGTGGGCCAGGAGTGATTTGCCTCTCTAAGAAGCAGGCAAGATTTTTAAAATGAGCTTTAAGAAAAGCTGTCCGTGTGACACCCTTTTCTTTACAAACATTCCTGGAATTCCATGGAGGGGTAGAGTCTGTCCTCTAAAGGTCAGCATGGGGCAGAAGGTCACGCCTCTAAACACTCGAGCCCCGAGGTGCCACCCACAGCCCCCCCATCCACCACGTTGCACCCCTGCCTGTCCCCCCTCCCTGCAGTCTCCAAGGAGAGGTGTGGTTGACACCTACAGGTCACCACTGCCCAACTCCAGACAGGCTGGTGGAGGAGGCACAGAGAAAACCTGTGCCCACTGTGTTTCAGGCCCACGGGGAGATTCCCCCTGGGTTTCACGGTTCAGGTTGCACAGTGGTATTAGCCTTGGAATCCCAATGAACCCCATTTATCATACACCAGCCTTGTGCCTGGGACCAGGCCTGGCTCCATGGAGGAGCCAGAGGAATAAAAAGAGAGGGTCCTTATGAGAAAGTGGGGATCCAGCTCAGGGGTCAAGGCCAAGGCACACGAAACAATGAGCAAACAAGGCATTGTCCAGAATCGCATTGTGTAGCGCTATAATAAACTGGTCAATTATGCAGCGCAGACAGTTGGAGCCCGGGATGGTATATAATGTGCTAATTGTGCAGAACGATGAGAGGCCAGAACTGGCTCTAATAGGCTAATTATGTGGTGCAGACAATCCGTACCAAAGGGCCGAGGAGGCAGACCTGGAGGACGGGGAGGTCGGTGGGGCCTGTGGGACAGCCGCCCAGCAGACCAGCAGTCGGGCTTGAAAAGAAAACAACCTTGAAGATCCTGCCCCTCACCCTGGGCCATTCCTCCTGACCTCAGCTGGGCACTGGGTGGCAACAGTGAGCCTGAGGCTTTTTGCACACCGAGGACCCCTGGGCAACAAGTAGAGCAGAATGTGGACCCTGGAGCCAGACTCCCTGGGTTCCAAACCCAGACCTGGCCCTGTTGTCTCTGTGGCCCTGGGGCAAAGAGTTGACCTCCTGTCCCTCCGTTTCTGTAGTTGTAGACAGAGGGGCTGGGAGGGCGACACCAGGACCCACCAGGCGGAGTTGAGAGAGTCCATGGACCTGACCGCCCGAGGGTCTAGAAGTCTGGTGGGTACCTAGTAAGTGCTCAGTAAATTTTAGCTGCAGCTGCCAGGTGTGTTCACAAGTAGGAAACATGGCTTCAGGCTTTGACGTTCCAGACAAAACACCAGAGTGTGTGCCTGCTTCTTGTCTGCCTGTTTGATGAGCCTCATACGAGGCCCTCTTGCTCTGTGGGCGCCCCGTCCCCCATCCACAGCTGAGGGGGTCGGACTGGGTGAGGTCCCTCCGTTGAGCACTGGGTGGTCTATTTACATATGTGCAAACACAGCTAGATGACAAGGCCCCGCCCCTGCTCTTACACAGCTGTGAGCCAGACAGAAGCCATTATGAATGAAAACGCAAACAGTGCTGCCAACACCAGTAAAATCCATTTGAACGTTAAAAATGTTAAGACCCAAATTAAAATGTACAATTCTACCTTTTTCTTTTTCACTGGCCCAGGATCATTAAAGTACAGTGGCTTGGCCCCAGCTCCGTTGAAACATAAACCTGAACATGGGCTCTGACGTAGCCCAGAGCGAGAAGAGCCGAGGGGTGGACGCGGGGGCCTGGCGGCCAGGCCGGACCTGGGTCCCAGCGGGGGGACCTGGGAACAGGGCCTCGTCTCTAAACCTGAGTGAGAACGAGGTGTTTGGGTCGGGTGATCCCCAGTCTCCCTCCCAGCCACAGTCAGTGCAGGGAACAGGCACAGGGATGAGAAGCAGAAAGACGACCCGAGTGGTTGGCCCTCGGCCTGGAACGTCCTCTCTTCTCTCCTGTGCAGATCTTCGGTTTCATAGCCACCTTCCTCTGCCTGGCGAGCGTGTGGCTGTCCTACAAGATCTCCTGTGTGACCCAGTCAACAGGTGAGTTCTGGTTGTCTGAACACAGGTGAGCTCTGACCACTGCGTGTGCTCAGGGACAGGAGCACAGCCGGTTCTGGGGCTTCGCGATGGAGAAGGTGGGGTGTAGAGGGTGGGGTGCCCGGGAGGACAGGCACAACCCCGGAACCTCTGCTCGATCCCCGTGCTCACCGCCCAGGAACGCCCAACATGTCAGCCTCTGACGGAGAAGCATTCGCTTTTCACGTCTCCCAATGACAAGGATAAAATATAGGACATTTGCAAACTGCAAATAAGAAAAAAAATGTTTTTAATAAAAGCCATCTGTCATCACATTATCCAGAAATAGCACCTGCTGGGTGTCTTTCCTTCTAGGATTTCCTCTCTCTGAGTAAGATAGATAGATAGATAGATGATAGATAGATAGATAGATAGATAGATAGATAGATAGATAGACCCACATATATATATAGAAAGAGAGAGAGAGAGGTGCACAGGTTGCTTTGATTAAAAGGATCAGAACAGCCCTGGCCGGTTTGGCTCAGTAGTTAGAGCATTGGCCTGCGGTCCACAGAGACCTGGGTTCAGTTCCCGCTAAGGGCATGTACCTTGGCTGCAGTTTGTCCCCGGCCCTGGTTGGGTCGTGTGGATGGCGGCCACTCGATGTGTCCCTTTCACATAGATGTTTCTCTCTCTCCTTCCCGCTCTATCTGAGTAAAAAATGGAAAAATGTCCTCGGGTGAGGATAAAAACAAACAAACAAACAAAAAGGATCAGAACAATATGCATTATTTTGTAACCTGATCTTTTTTTCCTACTTGACCATCTGTCACTTCCCCTGTGTCAGCAGGTGCTCTTTTCTATCGCTGTCACTGGCTCTGTGCTGTCCCACTGACCCCACTGCATGTCTGTGCCATAGTTTACTTGTCTCCTATAAGGGGCATTATCTTTTGTTGTTGCTGCTGTTTTCATTCTTTGGTACTAAAAAGCACTGTAATGACCAGCTTTATAAATATATCCCCTAAACCTATACCTAATTTTTTGTGGTTGTTGTTAATCCTCACCCGAGGATATTTTTCCACTGATTTTTAGATAGAGTGAAAGGAGGGAAGGAAGGGAGAGAAAGAGAGAAACAACGATGTGAGAGAGACACATCTGGGGTCAGGGATCAAACCTGCAACCAAGGTACCTGCCCTTGACCGGGAATCGAATCCACGACCCTTCAGTCCAAGGGCTGACGTTCTATATGCTGAGCCAAACTGGCCAAGGTTGTGTCTAATATTTTTTATCTTTACAATTACTGAAAGCTTAAACCAGCTATTTTGATTAATCTACTTCTTTTTTTTTTTTTATCCTCACCCGAGGATATTTTTCCATTTTTTGTACAGATAGAGTGGGGGGGAGAGAGAGGAAGGGGGAGAGAGAGAGAGAGAGAAACATCGACGTGAAGGGACACATCGAGTGGCTGCCACCCGCACGACCAACCAGGGCCAGGGACAAACTGCAACCGAAGTACGCGCCCTTAGCGGAAACCGAACCCCGGTCTCTCCTGACCGCAGGCCAACGCTCTAACCGCTGAACCAAACTGGCCAGGGCTGATTAATCTACTTCTTTCTTCTTTCTTTTTTTTATCCTCACCCGAAGACATTTTTCTATTTTTTTGTTCAGGTAGAGTGGGAGGGAGAGAGAGGAACAGAAAGAGAGAGAGAGAAACATCGACGTGAAAGGGACACATCGAGTAGCTGCCTCCCACACGACCAACCAGGGCCGGGGACAAACTGCAACCAAGGTATGTGCTCTTAGCGGGAACCGAACCCGGGTCTCTCTGGACCGCAGGCCAATGCTCCAACCGCTGAGCCAAACTGGCCAGGGCAATCTACTTTCTTTGATCTAGCACTTCCTTCCTTTGTTCTTCTCCTTTAAAACACACACACACACACACACACACACACCCCAGCATGTGCATTAGGTTGTGAGGTGCCCTGCGGAAAGGTGGTCACAGCAGAGCTTCGGTTTCCTCCCAGGAGTCACTGGCAAGAAGTTAACCAGGTGGACCCCGGTCATGAAAGACCAAAGAGTGTCGGATTCCATTCGCGTGAAACGTCCAGACAGACAAGCCAGAGACAGGAAGGAGATTAGCGGTCGCTCGGGGCGGGGGGAGGTGGGATACAGGGGCGCCTGCTAACGGGCCTGAGGTCCTTTGACGTGATGAGAGAGAATGTTCTAGGATTGCCGCACAGTCCTGTGAAAACAGTGGGTGGGTTCTGTGGTGTGGGAATGGTAGCTCAGTAAAGCTGTGTAAGAAAAAAACAACGAATGAGGAAGGTAATGTAAAAACGGTCCACAGGTAATTTCGAAAGGTGGCAAATCTATAAACGTATCACTTAGAACTGGAGGAAGCGCCGAATGAAACCGTTGGTGGCCTTCGAGGAAGGAAGCCTGGAGGAGAGAGGAATAGGGATGGGAAGCCCCTCTGTATGATTTAATTTTTTCCTTTTTCAGAAAATGTATTTTAAAAGAATAAAATAGTCCCAGTGGAAGTTGGTGCCGGGCGGGGGAAGGCAGTGCCCCGAGCAGAGCGTGGGTCAGCCCGCCTGGTGCGGCTTCGGGTGGGCCCGGCCCCGGCCCCGGCCCCGGCCCCGGCCCCGGCCCGCCGTCCTCACTCTGCTGTTTCCCCCCAAGATGCAGCCGTCTGAGGACACCACAGCTCCAGGCCCGCAGGAGGCCCTGCAGGACGCGTGGCCCGCAGACAGCAGGGTCAGTGGGCCAGTGACCCTAGGAAAGACTTCTGAGCCTGTGTTCCTGTGCCAGAGCCCTGCCCGGGCTGGTGGGCACAGGAGGGCTTCTGCTCCCGGGGCTGCTCCACACCTCTCTCCGGCCCACCTCGAGGAATATTTCTCCCCATCTGGGAAAGAAAAGCAGCCTCCAGGGATATCTGGTCTCTCCTTCCTGCTTCTAAAACTGCCTCAGGGACTGGTGACCATACTTAACACCGTGGGGTTTCTGGGTACCCTGCGTAAACCCCATTCCTCGCGGGAGCAAAGCTGCCCGACGTCTACCTAGGAAAACAAAGCCCTCTCCTCTGTCTCCAGCTTGGGAGTCTGGTCTTGAAAATGTTGTTTTTCTTAAAGTGAGCATGGGGAAGCACTATGTGGTCAGCCTGTCCCCAAAGGTGAGCTCAGTCTCCTTTCTCGGCTCTGTGAGCATTGCATGTGTGTGTGTGTGTGTGTGTGTGTGTGCGCGCGCGTGCGCGTGTTTAATAAAATACTGACTTGGCCAATTGCACGAGGATTTCTCATTAAACCAGAGAAGGCTGTAACACCAGGAGTGAAGTGAAGGGGCCCAGGAGGCTTAGAAGATGCCACCGGAGGTGAGCCGAGGAAAGGATGCAGGACACAGCGTCCTCTGCAGGGCTGCCTATTTTCCAAGGAAACTGATTTCGAGGGCAGACGCCAATCCTGTTCACACAAGACATAAGGCAGGACTCGGAGCAACACAGGCAGCCTTAGAAGGGAACTCTGACACATGCTACCACATGGATGAGCCTTGAAGACACTGTGAAACGAAAGAGCCCAGACACAAAGCAACAAATGCTGTACCCTCCCCTTACATGAGGGCCCTAGAGTGGTCCAGGCTGGAGAGACAGTGAATGGATGCCAGGGCCCGGGGGGAGGGGCGTAGGGAGTTAGTGTTTCATGGGTACCGTTTCCACTCGGGGAGATGGAGATGTTCTGGAGTTGGACAGTGGTGATGTTGCCCAACAATGTATGTGTCATTAATGCCACTGTGCTGTATACCTCAAAAGTGTTCAAATGGTCAATTTTGTTGTGTATTTTTTAAAATATGTTTTTATTGATTTTAGAGAAAGAGGATGGAAGAGGGAGAGAGAAACATTGATCAGCTGCCTCCTGCCCCCCCTACACACACTGGGGATCAAGCCTGCAACCCGGGCATGTGCCCTGACCCAGAATTGAACTGGGACCTCTCAGTCTATGGGATGATACTCAATCCACTGAGCCACACTGGCCAGGCTAACCCAATTTTTTTAAATGACCCAATGATCCCACTGCTAGGAATATACCCTAAGAAGCCTGAAACACCAATCAGAAAGAATATATGCACCCCTATGTTCATAGCAGCACTATTTACAATAGCTAAGATCTGGAAACAGCCCAAATGCCCATCAGTAGATGAGGGGATAAAAAAACTGTGATACGGCCCTGGCCGGTTTGGCCCAGCGGTTAGAGTATCGGCCTGCGGTCCAGAGAGACCCAGGTTCAGTTCCCACTAAGGGCACGTACCTCGGTTGCAGTTTGTCTCCGGCCCTGGTTGGGTCGTGCAGGAGGTAGCCACTCGATGTGTTCCGTTCACGTCGATGTTTCTCTCTCTCTCCCTCTCTCTCCCTCCCACTCTATCTGAACAAAAAAATTGAAATATGTCCTCAGGTGAGGATAAAAAACAACAACTGTGGTACATTTACACAATGGAATACTATGCAGCTGTAAGAAAGAGCGATCCCTTACCCTCTGGAGGGGCCTGGAGAGTATTATGCTGAGCGAAATAAGCCACTCAGAAAGACGAGTATCATGTGATTTCACTTATATGCAGAATCTAATGAACAAAATAAACTGACGAACAAAATAGATCCAGAGTCATGGAAGCAGGAAACAGACTGACAAACCTCAGAGGGAAGGGGGGCGGGGGAGAGATAAACCAAAGAACTCATATGCATAACCAATGGACACAGACAACAGTATGGTCAAGGCGGGAGATGGGGGTCGGGAAGGAGGTCAGTGGGGGAAAGGGGGGGACATCTGTAATATGTTCAACAATAAATATAATTTTTTTTAAAAGTGATGCAAGGCCTTCTGTGTAGGCACCGAAGTGGCTGAAAGAGCTACTTGGGGAATGGGTGAAGACAGACCCAGTTCCACCCAACCAAAGCAGGCACCATGGAGGCCAGGGCCATGTCCTAACAGCTGAGCATCACAGGTCCGAGAGAACAAGCTGTGGTGTGTTGGTGTTCTCTAAACCAGGCCCTCTCTGGGCCTGCTCAGCCCAGGGGCCGTGCCCATGCGTAACCCGAGCTCGGTACCTCCCAGCCGGGGCGCAGGCCCACTGCACTGGGCAGACAGCCGCAGACCAAGCAAAGATGTGAGAGGAGGGAAGACTGGACCCATGGAGGAAGGACAGGGCAGCCCCTGGCTCTTTGTAGCCACCTGAGGCCCCAGGAAAGGGTGTTGGCACCTGTGGCCACAGCTGGTCTGTCCTCAACCTGACCGCAAGCGCACGCTCCCTGGCCTGGCCCTTGGGGAGGCGGGGGGGGGGGGTGTCTGGTGCTCTCCCTTGGGCAAGCCTCTGCCACAGACGTTGGCTCACCACCCACAAGAAAGCCTGCTGCTCGGAGAGGCTCTCAAAGACGCTTTGGTGTGGTTCTCTCCACAGTGAGGTGGTCCGCGGGGGACTGCCTGCCCACCTCCGAGGGCCGGTGGGGAACACCCTCCCCTGAACAAGCTGGAGGCTCGAGGAGAAGTCCAGTGGACACGAGGAAAGGGACAGAGCTGGGATTTGAGTCCAGGTCTGGTGTCTCGGCCCAGCCTGGGATGTTAGGGCAGGGCCCGAGCTGACTGGCTTCCTCACGGGCAGCTGGCCCTGGACCGAGGCACCCCGTGCGCAGCCTCCGCCTGGGCCTCCAGCCAGGATGCTAAAGTGACCCAGAGCCGGCCCATCCCCTGGGCACCGCCTCCCAGCCTCGTCCCTAGCATGGAAAGCAAACCGTGTCACCAGGGAAACAGCAGGTTTGGGGGCCCCTTAGCAACCACCACTTCCCCCTGTGTGGCAGTTTCTGAACCGCATCCTGTGAACTCACAGAGGTGCCTCAGGGGGGCTCACAGAGACCTGATTTTATGTGCAAAACATCCGTTAACACCTGAGACGCACACTGCCACCCACAGCAAACACGGACGCCGGACCTGCACAGGCGCTCGGCTGGGGCAGCTCCCGGGGAACCCTGCCTGGTGGCCTCTGGGTGAGGAAGGCAAGCGTGTGAGGCCGGCTGCGAACACCCGCCCGCCCGCGGGGCCAGCCGGGCCTCTGGGCCTGCACAGGCTCCGCGCAGGGACCCCTGCTCTAGTGAACTGAGTTTATAATAATAAGTAAATCGATGATTTATATTAATATCCTATTTCCTGTTTTATATAATGGAGCTTCACATGATTTAGATTGAAAGGGGGAATTTCTCTGCTTAAAAAGAAAACATGTGAACATAAGAGACTATTATAAAAGTAATAAAGGTTTGTTTTGACACGCAAAACACACACACACGCACACACACCAAAAACACTCAGAAACCCCGAAGTTGGATGAAGCTGCCGGGCTGGTTGCATCCGCCGGGTTGGAGCAGCCCTCGGGAGAGGCTTCCTAATGAGAACCCCGCCTGTTCTGCACCTTGTAAGGAGATCGAAGCAATTCTGCATGGTTCGGGTTTTATCATCGCTTTCTGTGTACATGGAAAATTATGCAGATTTTTTAAAAGACCATGATTAACTCCATGTACAGTTGTACAAAAAAAGGAAATGTTATGGTATGAAATGTCCATGTAGCTTAGTTCTGGAGTGATGACAACCAGAATTATGGTCACGCTGGATATTGATCTGACCAACACTTTTAAGACCCTCACTCCGCCCTGGCCAGTTGGGCTCAGCGGTTGGAGTGTTGGCCTGCGGACCAGAGAGTCCTGGGTTCGGTTCCCGCTAAGGGCACGTACCACAAAGAAAAAATAAAGTAACGTGGACAGATTGTTGGGGTGGGGGGGACAGATTGTTGCGGGGGGGGGGCCCTCACTCCCCGGCAGGGGTGTGTGGAAGGGACAGCAGCGCACTGTTGCCAATTTGCCTCAAGTGACCAAGAGAAGTGAAAGTCTGGATTTTTAGGCTAAACATTTCCTGATTTTTTAATGCTGCCAAATAAACCTTTATAAGGTACACTCCAGGCCAAACCAGACCTGTGTGGGGTAGATGCAGCCAGCGAGCCCTCCGTTTGCGCTGCCGGGCCTGGGAGAGGGAGGTCGGGCAGCGGAAGTCAGGGCCAAGGCCAGGAGCGCGCAGAGGCTTCGCTGGGCCCGCAGCTGCTTCCTCCCGAAACCCGGGGCAGCGTGCAGGACCGGGCCCTCCCTCGGGAGTCCCCAGGATCCCCCGCCAACAGCCTCGCCCGGTGCGCTGCCCCTGCTCCCAACCGGGCGCAGCTTTCCTTTGGCGAAAACAAAGCCCTAAGGCGCAGGTGGCGGCCGGAGCCCGCGCGCGCCCTGCCCTGGCGGCGCGCGCCCTCTTGTGGCCAGCGGGGAGCTGCGCCGCCCTTGGTCGCGGCGGAGGGGCAGGCTTCCGAAAAGTCGAGTTCCTCCGAATCCAGGGTTCAGAATTGATACACCAACTTACACAGTTTATTTGAACCTGAAGTCCAAAAGTGAGTCATCTTCCTTGGTTCACGACGCCCTCACACTATGATCGCTGGTCCACGCAAGGCCTCCTTCCTCTCTTCCTCTTTTTTTATCCTCACTCAAGGACATTTTTTTTCCATTTTTTGTTCAGATAGAGTGGGAGGGAAAGAGGAAGAGAAAGAGAGAAACATTGACGTGAAAGGGACACATCGAGTGGCTGCCACCCACACGACCAACCAGGGCCGGGGACAAACTGCACCCGAGGTACGTGCCCTTAGCGGGAACCGAACCCGGGTCTCTCCGGACCGCAGGCCGACGCTCTAACCGCTGAGCCAAACCGGCCAGGGCTTGCTGCTGCTGCTGCTTCTTTTTTTAAAAAAAATTTTCCCCCTTTATTGATTTTAGAGAGAGAGAGAGAAATATCGATGAGAGAGAACATCGATTGGCCGCCTCCTGCATGCCCCCCACTGGGGATCGGGTCCACAACCTGGGCATGTGCCCTGACCGGGAACCGGACCAGCGACCTCTTGGTGCATGGCTCGATGCTCAACCACTGAGCCACACCGCCGGGCTCTTTTCCTCTTTTTAAAAAAAATATGTTTTTATTGATTTTTTTGAGAGAGAAGAAGGAAGAGGGAGAGAGAGAGGGAAACATGGATCGGTTGTCTCCCCAAGGCACCGTCTGGGGACCAAACCGGCAACTTGGGTGTGTGAGCGACAGGGAACTGAACCAGCGATCTTTCGATGCACAGGGCACACTCAACACACCAGCCGGGCCTCCCTTCCTATTTTTAAGGATGCAGTCAATGTGAAGCTAATGACATAACCTACCTTTCTGTAACCATATGCTTCCCCATCTCCTCTGCCCATTTCTCCTCTCCAGAAACAACCTCCTGAATCTCCCATTCACATCTTTGCCTCTTATTACATAGTACTATTGTAGACACCTGCATTGCCTACAGAGTGCCTATGATAGTTGCTTATAATTAAATGAAAAGGACACCACACTGGATGTAATCTGTTGGGACTTTATTCATTTACCACTATATTGCTGTAACAGTGATTTTCAACCTTTTTCATCTCATGGTAACATAAGCTAATTACTAAAATTCTGGGGCACACCAAGAAATATACTTTTTGCCGATCTAACCAAAAAAAAGTGTAATTTTTATTCATTCACAGCTATTGTGTTGGCTGTTGTCTTTTTTTTTTTTTTTTTTACAATCTAAGGGTAAAGAGGTCAGTGCCCCTGACTGAATAGTATTGCATGTTTTAAAAATTCTTTCACATGCCCATTGAAAATCGCTGCGGTAACAGACACCCCCCGACACACACACACACACACACACACACACACACACTTTATGCAACATCCTCTTGCCCTCACCTATCTCTTGACACAGGAGCTTCCTGTGGCCACACATGTACCACCTG